AGAACTAGACCAAATTGAAGCTGAGGCTGTGACCCAAAGCCTCCCAAAGCAAGGAAACACCAGCTTCAGGTGGGGCGGCCAGGTTTTCTGAGCATTAAAGAGCAACAAAGGCCCAAGTTCAAAGAGGTTTGGTTCAGGATGCCCAAACCCACACAGCCAGAGGGGGCTTTGGTGTGGGAACTTCCTCACCTCCTTGTCAAGGCCCAGGCTGCTGATCTTGCACCTCCTTCCCAACAGGAACCAGCTCCTACAACTTCTGCACTTCCTATTCTTATAAATAATTTAGTTCAAGCTGCTCCTGAACAAGGCAAAACCACAAAAAAAAGCAAAGACAAAGCAGGGCTGCAGGGACATCAGCCCCATGGGAAGTGCAACAGGGCATGTCGGGATGCTTGAGGGGACACCAGTGATGCTGGACATCACTGAGAAGAGATGAAAGGAAAGGAGCTTCATGTCTTGCAGGGAAAAGGCAGCAGGGCCTGATTCCCAGCTCCAGCAGCGAGCTGGCAGGCAGGAGGAGCAGAGTGGGGGGTCACTCACTGTTTAAGTGCATTTGCACCCCCCACACCCCAACCCTTTGCAACCCAAAGGCTGGGCAAGCACAGGATGCACAAGGCTCTGCTGAGTGCAGCAGCCTGGCTGCAGGTTTCGGTTGGGCTTTGCTCAACCCCTTCACAGGGCACCCAGCATGGGAATTGCTGCTGGTAAGAGACAGACCCCCGCTACCGCAGGAGCCAGGCTGGGGGGAGCAGGGCTTGCCAGAGCCCAGGAACAGAAAATGGGATTCAGATGGGGCGCTGCAGAGCGGCTGCACAGCCCCGGCTCCCACAGCACCTGGCACAGACACAGCTCACTGCAGTGAGCTCAGCCAGCCCTGCCGAGCATCGCTGCCGGCCCGGCATGGAGCTCTCCCACATCGCTTCCATCCCACAGCAAGGACAAGACTCAACCTCCGCAGTTCAAGCTAAATCCCTGATCTGATTTAATCAAGGAGAGAGCAGAAGAGCTGCATTATGCCTGCTCCAGACCCCGTGCCACCCACCCTCCCCATCTCTTCCCCAAACAGCCACATATCGATGGCAATACTAATTCTGCTGTTATTTCCCCCCCTCTCCTGCCCTTGACAAGCAAGACCAAGGTGGGCAAGCCTTTAAATGGAAGCAACGTGACTTGCTTGTAAGTCGCCACCCCCCGCGCCCTCCCTGGCACCGCTCTGCACCACAGCCACACAGCACCCTGCCAAGTCACCGGCTTTCCCCTTCGGCTGCCACGAAGGTCCAGCTTACATAAGAAGGAACAAACTCGCTTTTCTTCGCCACCCCTTCAATGCTGCCATTCATCCCCTGCCCTCCATCCTCCCGGTGCCACCTTGAGGGATGCAAAACACGCTGCCAAAACACTTCATCTCACACTTTATCCCTGGGCGAGTTTTGCCTGTGGGTAATGGGCCTATGATTTTGTCTCCCTAAACCACAAGTGAACTAATGTGTTAAAGCAAAACTGACTGGGATGCTGTAAAGGTATAGCTGTGAGGTAAGGACATCCTGGCACAGCCATGTCACTGCTCAAAAAGCAAAGAGCTCTGAGGTGTGACAGCCTTTCCCTGGAGGACACAGGGGCTGCAAGGGCCAGGTCACACACATCCCACCGGAGCAGAGACTCTGGCACCAAACAGAAAGGAACCGAGTCTGCCCAATGGTTGTGTAAAGGCTTTGCCTCTGATGCTGAGCGAGCACGAAAGCTGGTCTTAGTTCTGCCCAGCTGGAAACATCTTGGTCAAAACCCCAGGTTATTTTTGCATCTGCACATTGGTTCTGCCTGGTTAGAGACTTTGTGCTGACTTTGGCCAAGTGGTCAACCCGAGGGAAAAGCAAGCCAAGAGGGGAACAGGACATAACTTTGCAGGCTGAGCATGAAATGACAAAGCCAGGTTTATTCAGACACAAATAGGGCACTTCAAAAGCATTTTTCCACCCCCTTATAAAATCAGTACTAGCATCATCATCATCTACACGCCAGGATTCTCAGCCCTCTTCTGATTTCAGGCCAGCATGGATGCACACCGCCTTTCCTTTCCAATCATTCTGCCATTATTTGTCAAACACCAAATTCCAGCTCCTTTAGGAAACCAAGGGGGAAGGAAGCATGGCTGGCTGAACCCTTTGTCCTTCTCCCCCCCACACACACTTTCAATCAGAACAGAGCAAGAAACCCACAAAAAATGCACATTCCCAAAGCCAGAGGCTACATCCCAGTTCTGGCAACCCAGTGATCTCACCACAAAGCTCAGTGCATGCTTGGATCCCCTTTGACGCCTTAACAATGCATTCACAGTGGTGGAAGGGTGGGGAAGGAGGGCTTCAAAAGAAAAGAGCAGCATGGAACAAGCTCTTCTGAATCCAGAAGCCATCTACTGCAACATGAACCTTCTCCACGTGAGCTTTACTGCTCCTCCTAGCAAGAGCTTTGAAGCACGGCAATGAGACATGAGGAGAAAGCCAACAGCACTCAGTGCAGTGGCTGGGTATGGGCCTACAAGTACCAAAATGTCTTAAATGTCAACAAGGCCGATCTTGACAGGGTGACAGAGGGGAAGTACAGAACACAAAGCCCTCCGTCGCCTTATACCATCCATGTATTCCCCTGGCTGCAGCTCCTAGGGAGGCTGAGGAAGCCATTGGGATGCAGGCAGCTTACTGAACCTTGCACATGGGGAGCTTTGGACCTTAGCATGATGATATCATGCTAATACTTAAATATATATATAATACTTATCATGCTAATACCTTTATCTGTCTTTGGATGGGGAGAGAGAAGTCAATGCATTCAAAGTCTCCCCTCTTTAGCCAGTCTGCAAGCGAAGGGAGGGCTTCTCTTTTATTGCTGTTAAATTGCAATAAGGAGCGCAATAAAGGGAGGAAACATTCTCACACCACACAGAGCAGCTGCTCTGCAGGATTTGCTGCCATTCTGCACCTTCTCTGTCAATAGCACAACCAAGACCTTGCTGGCAAAAACGACAGCAACACATCCCTCCTCTGACCCGGATGACCAACAGGCAGTCAGTGACCTTGAAAAGATGCTCCTGAGCCCTTGGTTGGGACAAGCCATGGCCATGAGTCGCAGGACAACTGCAGCTGAGCAGGGAGCAGTCAGGGCAAGCCTGCTTCACGGGGGTACATCACCGGTCGGAAGGGCAGGAAGAGACAGGGCCAGATCAAGAGGTATAAGGGAAGCAGCTGGAAGGAAGCTTGCACAGCATCTGCGCTATGGTCCCAGCCACCCGTGTCTACACATATTAAACATCCATTAGATTTAAATTAAAAGAGAAAAAACAAACACTTTGTGAAGAGATGAAAACATCCATGCTGTATCTTTGAAGAGTGAGACAAATCCACCCTGAAGAAATGTAAATGTAGCAGGAACCAAGAAACTCCTGGGATTACTCATTACAGGAGACGAGATTCTCAACATCTTTCTGTTTTGCAGCAATTAGCTGGTAACTAGGAAAAAAAAATGAATAGCTCAACACTTTTCTATTATTAGCTTTAAATAATGATTCAGAAACAGGCACTTCCTTTTTCCCTTAGCTGTGAAGAGCCAAGCACCACGATCATGGCTTGGGGCTCATTTAAACTGCAAGTATCTCCGCAGAAATAACAAGAGTGGTGCGAACACAATGAGAAATAACCCCTTCATTTCAAGTGTAGCTATTAGCAATTACCTTCCATTTATAGGTTAAAAAGCTTAATACAGTATATTTGCTAGGAAGAGTGTGCAATGCCAAGAGGATGTATGCGCATGGAAGTTGGGCAGCAAGAAGAGACAGGGGCAGTCACACCTGCTGATGGCCTTGGAGAGAAACTGAGTAAGAAATCTGTCACACTCAAGGCTCCCTCCCAAAGCTTGCTCCTGTACTTTAATCACTGATACCATCCATAGCCCAAGGAAATAATTAAGCATTTCAGCTGTAAAAGGAGTTGCCTGCTCAATCTGCTAAGCAGACAGTTTCTGCAGAGCAATTCAGAGAGAAAAAGATAAGTAGATTCAGCTGATGTGACACAAAAAGTCTCTCTAAAAGCATTAATTTCCTTTGGGAAGCAGCCCACACGTTCCTAGCACAGTGGGCAACCATCACTCCTGCAGCAGGTCCCAGTAAGGCAGATGATTAAGTCTGCATCAGTCATTTGGAATAAGCAGAAAGGCAGCGGATCAGGATGCAGTGTCACAAGCAGTAGCTGGGTCTCTGAAAACAAGGGAACTTTGAGTTCACCTTGACACCTACTGAAAGAAGACTTTCAGATCTTATTCCAGGGATAATCATCTGCATCCCTGCCACATCCCCTTAAGCATGCACAGGAATGAGACATAGCACTACACACAGCAGCAACCAGGCCATGGAGCAGCACACAAACCTCCCTGTCCTGTAGCTGGCTGTGATACAGTGACCTGTGATTGTGCCTAAGCTATTGCAGTGTGATGCCTGGATGCCCATTTCCATGTAGCACATTCTGCCCATCCAGGCTGGCCACAGACCCCAAGAAAAGAACCTCAAGCACTATCCTGGAATGGGGCACATCATGGAAGATGCTCCATACAAGCAAGGTATAAATGGGCTGAGGAATCTCAGCTTTTTATAAAGTAGAGTCCCACCACCACTTAGCTGAAAGGTGAAGCAGTGCAGAGGTAGTGTGCTGGCCACCTGCACATCCTGAATCACCCCACAGGGCTTGGCATCATTGCTCCCAACTGCCATTTCCTTCCTGTGATCCTAGTGCTCTCAGCACACATCAATGGAACACCAGTATCCTTCCAGGACTGTTTGGCAATGTCAAGCACTGATGCATGCGATGTGCCTTGAGCCCAGCTCAGACCAACCACCAGAAGTGTGGGTGGTGGAAGCACCACCACCAAACCCCGCTCCCAAAGAGATCTGAGTGCTCCACAAACCTTGCACCTCCGAAACGGCAGCCCTGAGACAACACACAGAAGCAGGAGCATCATTTCTTGGGTTTTTCTTTTACTGGTTTTTTTCCTTTATTCCTTCCCTTCCTTTGCCACGACACACACTTTGTATTAAATATCTTAAATATATTAATTTTTAAAAAGTATTAATAAAAAGCTACTTGAAGGACACAGCTGGCAGAGTGACCGAGGGCAGCAACCCATTGCAAAACATGGGGGCATTTAAAAAAATCACAAACCAAATTCGAACCCAAACCAAAATGGCATTTGTTTGGTTTTTTGCATGTGCACAGCTGGCTGGAATACCCTGGACTCTGGCATTATTGCAAAAATGGAAGGGGAAGCAGTAGAAAAAATAGATTCCATTGTACCAACCTGTATGGGGAAGGGAGTTAAGAGCAAAAATGAGGAGGTTTTAAACATTTTTGGTATTTCAGATGTTCCCTCCCATACCCCCTCCCCCCCCCCCCCAATCACTTTCAGTCTTTCAGCAAGTTTTCTGGTTTGGGGTAGCCAAAGAGTACAAAATCTGCTTCATAAAGCTTATAGAGCTGCTGCCTCCAAGCCAGGGGGATTTTGGCAAACCAGTTATCTTCCCAGCTGCTGGCAGTCCTGTTCCGGTAGCTGGGGGGGAAGCGAAGCAGCCTGTCCACTTTGAGGAGCTGCAATAGATAAGCAGCATCCTCATCCAATGTCTCCAGCTTGCCGATGAAATCATAGTCTATCTGGCACGGGTGGCACAGACGGTAAACCTGCCTCCAATGCTCATTGAAAGGGGCCATCTTCTCTGTCCTGGGATCCAGTAAGTACTGGATGAAGTCAGAAAAGGAGACTTTGAGGCCTGCCCCGAAGGCCTCGCTAACAGAGGCAGGAAGGTTAGTATGGTTGGAGTACAGCTTTAGCATGGGGATGGCAAAACGCCGGTAGAATTCCTCATTCTCCAGCTCAAATTTGCTGCGAAAGGCAGAGATGAGGCGGACAAAAGGGTCCCGTACAAAGAGGAACTTGGTGTACTTCTTTAGCTTGATCTTCATGAGGTGTCGAGAGAACTTCCCATAGCGCCGCCAGAATTTGTTGAACGTCAAGTGGGTGCTGGTGTTGTGGACGTGTTCCCGGGGGATATCCAGAGGGTTCCGGTATGGGATACCCTGGTCTAGCAGGCTCTCACTTAGCACAATCATCACCCGCTTCCAGTTGGTGCAGGCCACCTTGGGGACGTAACAGTAGATAATGCCATGGCGGTCATCCACGATCAGGTGGTTGAGCTCATAGTTTGGGATGTCATCAAAGGAGCGCTCCTTGGTGGGGAAGGTGAAGCTGGAATTGGCACAAAACTCCTTCAACGTTCTCTGCCTCTCTATCTGCACTTGTTCTTGGTCCAAGCTGTTCCTATCGTTGTGTGTAGACCAGTCATAGCCCCGCACGTTCTCCTCCAAATTACTTGCCACAGGCTTGCTGGAGCCCTGGACAAGTAGCTGCTCTGTCTTTCTTGGAGTAGAGCTATTCTGTTTCAGGCTCGAACTAAGCAGCTTTGCCAAAAATTCATCCACATCTGGCAAGGCTTCCCAGTCTTCGCCTGCTGTGATACCAGGGGAATGAGGCCTGGAGAAGGATGTATGCAGGTAGAAGTGAGCTGTTCCCACGTTGTCCCAGTACACAATGATCAGGAGGATCATGAAGATGGAGACCAGCACCACAGACAGACGGAGGAGCCGTGCTTTGGTCATCCTGACACTTAGTGTAATAGTTGGCTTTCACCTGGATTCACCTCCAGCTTGCAGAGTGAGGCTTGGGATCCAGCATGGTGCTGCAGATCAAGTCCCTAAAAAGGTACCAGAAAGAAAAGTTAGTTGAACCCTTAATTACTCTGGTTTGGAGATAATGACCCTGCACAATTAACACTTGTCACTGAGCTCACCATCCATTTCTGCAGGGGAGAACTGTGCGAGTCTGAGGTACCCACAGAGAGACCCTGTGGAGAAGAGGGAACCGGCCAAAAGGAGGCATAATGTGCTGCAGTTTCACCAGTTTCCACAGCAGTGATGGGGGCTTTATCAACCTCAAGCTTCTGGAGCCATGTGATTTCAAGTTTTCATTTTAAAAAGTAAGCAAAACATAAAGATATCAGGCCTAGAGTTTACAGAGGGAAGTTGGAGACTATGAAGAGATACAACTACATACAGATAGGCAGAGCCAGCTACCTTTCAAACCTCCCTGGGGTCTCTTTTAAACATATCTAGCACAGACCAGGAAGAACGAGGGCTCCTCCCATGATTTTAACTTGTGGTACCACTCTGTGGTCTCATATCCCCATGAAGATGCTCTGTACCGCTGTACTGGAAACAAAGACCTCACTGGAGTTATAAATACATAGCTGAAGATGTTGTTGCTTTAGTGGCTAAAGCAAGCCCCTGTTGAGAGAACATCACTGACCTGAGCTCACCATCTTATCTGCGTGAAGGCACCCAGCACGTCATCCCCACAACCTTCCTCGGCAGTTACTTATTTTGTCAAAAACAGAGATTATACAGTTTTTCTACCAAAGAAAACCCAAAGGGACACAGTCCCTATAAGAGCCACATATCAATAAAAAAGGTCTAAAAGAATTATTAGTTTTAACTGAATGATTTTCCAGATTAAGGATGCTCTGGTAAATCTTTCTTCATGTTTGGTTCTGTCAGTGAGGACCTCTTTCTGGTTTAGTGTAATTCCTATTTCTATCACACTCATCCCTAATAACTCTTCACCACCAAACACAGGCGAGAAATAGCTGTTAGAAGGGCAGCTCAGATCTTTTCCAGAGGGTGAAACAGGTTTGGGGTATTTTTATTTCAACAAGTCCCATCTTGTTATTACTACGTATTTCCCTGCTGACTCCCAGCCCCTTTCCACCAGCAAGCTCCTCAAGGGAGATCCATCTCCCAACCCTGCTGCATGTTTTCTGGTCCAAGGCTCTGCAGAGCCAGCCGTGCTCTCTCCCCAAGTGATCAAGGAGCCAGTGCCTACAGCCTTGTAGGCTGCAGAAGAACAACTACAAATTAAAGGGGAGAACAATGTATTAAAGCCAGAAGCAGCTATCTGATATTTTGAGAGGTTTGATGTTCTACAGCCTCTCTGTGCAAAGTTTATCATCAAAAGACAAGCAGAAAGTAGTCACTCCTATTTCCTCTTCTCCAAACACAGTCCTGTCCCTGATTACAAAGACAGAACAGCATCTACAGATAGAAAAGAGCTGCCCTTTCTGCAAACATCCCCATTCTTTCCAATGACTTCAGAACAAGCCCTGCAAAAACCATCTCTGAAAACAAAGCCACTCCAGGACATGCTGCCCTGAAAAGCTTTTGAAAATGGAGACTGGGTGTCTCTTCCTCCTGAAATGCAAAGGTTGCTCCCCAATCAAGGCTCGCACAAAACCCTTCTAACAGGGCACCAACCCCATCCTAGGAAAGGAGTGAAAGAACCAGAGTCCAAATATGGGAAAGTGCTGAGCTCTGTCATTCCCAAGGGGAATATGCTCAGCACCTCTGAAGCTCACAGCAGCCTTGCATTTAATGACTTGTCTAAAGAGCATCTGCATGGCCGTGCTTATGCCTCAGGGATGCCAAATTTTAACAGTGCTGGTTTCAAGTACTAGACCAAAAGCATGAGACAAGAATTTAGTAACAAACAGGAACAATACAACATAGTCACATATCAAAGCATTACCTCAGCTTATAACAAAAGACAAAACATGAAACTGAAGGTTTAGGGTTTTTTCCATCCTTACACTTTAGAAGTAGGAAGAGCCAGAAATTCAATGGAGCTGTAGCTTAAGACATCTTTTCACTGTGACACCAAACACTGCACCTCCTGGAGCCAGGCTCTTACTCTACATGTGAAGAGGAGCTGGAGGACCTGCAGATGTAACACTTCGCACTTTGTGGAGCAAGAAGCAGGTATTATTCGGCAGTAATTACCTATGTTTAGCTAGTCAAGATTGTGGAGGGAGCAGATATAAGAAGCAGCACCCAAAGATAAGAGCACAGAGTTAAAGAAGAGGCAAATTACGTATGTGCGTCAGCACTTCTGGCCAAAGATCTCTGTCCAACAGCAGAAGATAATGGAGTGACACTGCCAAGCCTACTGCTTTGGCACACTTCTGGGTTTGCGTTTTGTCTGAATCTGTTCTTGCTTTTGAGCTGGTTAGCTGTTCAGGGCAGGGACTGCTTCCTATTCTGGATGAATAGGGTGCCCACTGCGCACATAATCCCTAGCACACTGTGCTTCCAACGCTGCTTGAGACCACTGGGCTGGCTGGAATGCAGCAAGCCCGGAGAGCTGCATGGAGCATCCTTTTCTGCCATCCCTATACCCAGCATCTTTAGACAGCACAGCATTTCTCCAGAGTTGTCCCACCCCAGCATGGACAGATCACCCTCTCAGCAGCAGTGACAGAGCAAATGAGACACTGTGTGTGGCATACGCATTCCTCAGGCAAACAGAAGGGGGGCTCTTTGTCAAAGCCACCACCATAATGTGGCTTTACCGAGCACACCCCAAGGGCTCGAGCCTGCTTTCCAGGACACAGCATGCAGGCCTGCCAGAGCGTTTGGCTTTTCCAAGACACACAGCAGCAGCATAGAATCGAAATGACTCCACTTCTATTAACTCTGTCAGTGCCAGAGCCCTGGAAAAGAGCAGTAACACAGCTTAAGTGCTCCTCATGAGAAAAATGCTGCAGAACACAGAGTTACTCTATTGACTACGATACATCCTCTTCCTGAGCACTTCATAAAAGACGCCAGACTGAAAGCACAAATTATAGGTCTCTGTGCACATCAGAAGGAACTCGCCTCCATCCTCCCCTTGCCAGAATCAAAAGGAAAAGCCTCCAGGAGGAGCCAAGAGCTTACAGTCAAGTTTAACCCAAAGTCACCAGCCAACAAGAACGTGCACCAGGATCCACACAAAGCTGCTTCTGTGACACGATGCTGGCAAACCGGGAAACGGACCAAGTGCTATAATAATCCTACAGAGTCCCCCAGCAACCATCCCATGATCATCTCCAACCTGAACCTTGCTTGGGTGTGAAACAAGGACTCATCTCCTCATCCTGGGTATGAGAAAGACACTGAGGTCTGAGGTCACCGGGTCCATCCTCTCCTATCACAAGCTGCCATGTCAAATAACCACCTCCCATTTAAAACCAGAAAGGGGAGGAGGGGGGATGTGTCCCCAGCGTTTTTATTGCAAAAGCTATTGCAGATGCAGCTCCTCAGGGATTTAGAAACCTTATTTGCACTTCACAGACCGATTACAACTGTTTGTTCCCAGGGCGAACAGCAACTTAAGTAATGACTGTCTCCTTCTTCCTCTCTTGCCTTTTTGCAATGACTACATTCTCCCACAGCCTCTCTCTGCAGGAGAGCAACTCTAGGCTACTTACAGGACAGTAAGGCCTATAGAAGATAAAGGAGCTTACATGCAGGTATGTACCAGAGACAGGGGACAGTGATCCCTCCTTAGGAACTGCAACGGTTTTGAAGGGACCGTGCCTTCAAAGGCTTGCATGCAGATTCCATCTCTTCTTGCTTTGTGTCTCCCCAAGTTTGTCCCTTTCCCACTGCTAACTGCCCATAGGGAAGCCCAAGGCACAGGTCGGGCACTCAGCACCATCTCATTTCCTCCAGCGCCCACTCATTCTGCCGTGATAAGGGACTTCAGGTAGCTTGCTTGGACTTTGCCTGCTTCTCAAGACAGAAAGAGGTGGAATGAGTACCTTTAAAGACATACAAAAACCACAGTCAAATAATTTCCCTTGGGAATGCAAGTTCCCTTGAGGTACCTACATTCATTAGCAACCACTCAATCCATGCAGCCTTCTTTACCCATATATTATGCTACACACCTGCCACCAGTTACACTTAGGGAACAAGGAGGCTCCAGAGAAGCGGAAGCAATTTAACCTGTTCCAGGTGGAGAACAAGCTCCCACCAGCCAAAACAGAAGTATCAATAACCAGAAATGAATTTCATTCACTTGCCATCACTCCATATTGCTGCTCCCCCAAAAACCTAACACCCTTTGCACAGCAGGAACGTTTTAACCCATGTAACAACATCAGCAGTTACATCAATACAAATACACTGTGTAAGCAGAAAATAGGGCTTGCACTGCATGTTCTACCCCAACTTAGCACGTGTATGCTAGAGACCAGCAAAGAATATCCTAATCTACGTAGCTATCCCAGTGCCTTCGCTCCCATCGCTGCCACAAAGCCTGGTTTGTGCAGGCTTGGCACCACCGGACGCCTCGTCTTTAACACCCATACTTGGAAGCTCCCTTAATGACCGTATTTCTGAGACTTCCCAAAGGAAACTCCCCAAACGCAGTATGTCCTGTTTGTTCATTGCCTTTATCACAAGCTTCATGCACACCCATTGCTCCTGACCTTACCAACATAAGGAGGGTCTCGGCAAGCCTTAGTGCTGAGAGCCTGAGTCAACAAGACCCCGGCACATTTGCTGTATGACAACACGAGCCAGAAATCAGCCCCCGCCACTCGCACCGCCTGCATTTGCCATACAAACACTTGATTTAAGCATCATTTTCTGCAGTGCGAAGTTTTCTGCGTGAAGTTCAAGCAGGATTAATCACGTTAACGGTTACCTCTGTAAAGCAAGACTAAAAACCACACTCTACCGTCAACAGGAAAGCTCTACCGAGGAGGCTGCTTCCTGGGTTCGCTTTTGTGGGCGCTGGGACCGCAGCCGCTCCCGAGTCCAGAAGCAGCACAGGCTGCAGATCAACACAGGGAAGGGGCACAAGCGGCTGCTCCCAGCCTCGGGCCCAGCACCGGCGGCAGAGCAGGGCAAGCCGGCGATGGGTGGCTCGGAGACGAGGAGCTGCCCATAGACCCAACCACCTCCCGCCACCACCGAGGTACGAGGACGGGCAGCGCTGCCCTGCCCAGCATACAGCACCCCGGTCCCGACGCGGCTCTCCCTTTACCTGGCACGCCGGAGGGAAGCGCGGAGGGACGCGGCTGCAGCTCATAACCGGAGCGGCCCCGGGGCGGCACCGCCGGCCGGGACCGCCTCACCCGAGCCCCGCCACCGCCCAACCCCTCCCCTCCCCTCCGGCCCTGGTCCAGGCCGTGCCCGCCCCGTACTCACCTCCCGCCCGGGCAGCGCAGCCTTCCTCCCCTCGCCTCTCCTCCTCCTCCTCCTCCTCCCGCTGCCCGGCCCCGTCCCGCCGCTACCCGGGCGCCGCCTCTCGCGAGACGCCGGGCACGGGGGTCCCCGCGGGGCCGCGGCGCAGGCGCTGCTCCGCCCGGCGGCGGGAGGCCCCGGCCCGCCCTGACCCGGCGCCTCCCCGCTGCTCCCCGCCGCTGGAGGCCCCGGGGCTGTGCCCAGGGCCCGTAGGCCCGGCCGGGAGCAGAGGGGCTGCTCCGGTCCAGCCCCCGGCGCGTTCCCGCAGCGAGGCCGCGACCGCTGTGGAGAACCAGGGGCAGCAAGCGGTGAACCACAGCATAGGGACCTTCCGAGGTGATCCGAAGCATAAGACTGCATAAGGAGGAGCTCGGGGGCTGCATGGATGGAATCCCGCTCCACTGCCTGCACCGTCCCAGACACAGGATAAGAGCCAGTAACGGATGGTCTGGTGACAGTCCTTGTCCTGAGGTGGACGCAGCATCCCAAGACCTGACATTGCTGCTTGCTATAGCTCATGGTTAAATGGAGCCAGGTCCAAGCTGTCTTGTGGAAGAAACCCCAGGCTTTGGGTTCTAGCACAGCAGAATATGAAAACCAAACTGTAGATAACTATACAGCAAGGCTAGAAAATGAAGCTGGAAAAACCCAGTTTAAGCTCCCTTTTTATCAGTTGTGATCAAGAAGAATCAAAGCAAAAAGCCATTAGCCCAGTGCTGAGGATGAGTGTGGTCCTGCTTGGTGTGGTAGACGGGCTGCAGACCATCTGCAGCAGTTAACCAAAGCTACAACTGATGATGTACACATTCTACCTCTGACATCTCAATCCCCAACATCTCCATTTGTTAACAGACCTAAAATGTATGTTTTGCAAACAGGGAGATCAGCACAGCCCCTGGCTCTGTGCTCTTCACAACAGTCATGGCAAATGACCAAACTCTTTGTCACACAACCTCCCCTTCAGAGATACAGCCTCAACCCGATGCGTTTGGCTCGGATGTCCCACTCTTTGTATGAAACAACTCTGCACAGTTTTGATGGTGATTCATCCCAAAAGTACATAGCAGAGATGTATACGCTTGGAAAACTCCGTTTTCCCTCATTTCTGGTCCTTCGCTGTTTGCAGGTCATGTGGGGTCCTGTAAATACAGGCTTGGCTCAAAGCCCTGCTGGCACAGGTTTGTTTTACACACAGTCTGTGCTTATTTATCTGTGCGTTGAGTTTTTGTGTCTTTGTTTATCTGAAAGAGTCAGCCCCGAGGGACAAGTGTTCCTGATCTTCTACTTCCCATCACACCTCTTCCTGATGCTTTTTCCTAAGGAAAATCAGCCGCTTGCTACACTTGTGTTGCACCCCCACTTCAGGACTTTATGGCATTTATATTTACAAGTAATCCAAGATTCCTCATCCCTGGAGAGAACTATCCCTCATCTTCCCACCAGCAAAACAAGAGGCAGAGAGGAGTGGGGAGTGTGCACAATGTCACACAGCAAGTCAGTGTATAAAGGAGACTTCATTGCAAGTGCTGCAGCTGTAATAAAGGTTCTCCATCCGTTTGAGAAAACACACAAACCTACCTGAAATCGTCATCTTCAGCAGACCTAGGAGGAAAGGCACTCCTGCTTGGGGCATGGAGTCACTGTGTATTCAGTGCAGCGACCAGAAGGCTTCATTCAATGGCATATTTGAAAAGCAGGGGAAATAGTGTTAAAAAGCCCCTTACGGAGGAGGCTGCTGGTTGGAGATGTTTGTTCCGAGGAGAAAAAACACATTCCCGTGGTTTACCTTCAGGCTAGCTCTTATCAGGGTCTGCACCTATCACCATGCTGCTTCTCCCGACAGCAGTTGTATCTGAAATGCTCTGTCGATAGAAAAGAGCTTAGAGCAATCTCTGGCTGCTCTCACAGCCAAACATCTGCTCACCCAAACAGCATTCCAGGCGTGTTACACCTCCCAGCTTCACAACAACACACAGGGACAGCGGGGAAGAACCGGGAGAACTATTTCTCAGGCATTTACATTTGGTTTTAATAGTCAGGGAGCCTTTTGGATTCATGGGTGGCATCCACACTTTTGCCCTGGGAAAAAAGGCAGCTTGGGCTCCATGCTGACATCTTCTGGGAGGCAAACACCGCTGGGAAAATGAGGGCTTCCTCTTCTCTTGGACTCTGTTAACACCCTACTTGTCTTCAAGTGAAGCTAACAGCTAAAGTATGCAATAAAGAGGAAAGTCTTGCAGTGGGGATATGGGAAAAGTAATCAACAACATATAGGTCCCTCTCCCCCCTTTGAATCATCCCTCTGCTTTTCAGCATCACAACACAGAAGCTAAAATACATTTTAAGGCACACTCCCCTGCATCTGCTTCCCTAACTTCCAGCAGTCTTGGAATGGCAATCCATGGGACCACAGAGAATCCTGCTCCCCTGGTGACTCCTATTTAATTTTCCTCTGGCTACTCACGCAGGAGACTGGCTGCTGCTTTTGCCGACTGCTGGCACCATCTGCAGGCCCTGCAGGTGAGGGAAGATGAAGCACTTGGGCAAGTTTCTCACTCTTCAATTCCAGTCTTATTGCCAGTCAAAGTGGGGACGAGACAGATCGCCATGGGATGTGGAGGGGTGAGTTTGGCAAGGGCCCTAGGATCTGCACATCAGTGACTGAAGAAAATCCCATGGCAACATGTTCAGGGGAAGTAGTGTGTTGTCACATGGCTCATTCAGATTAAATGATGTGCTTCACATATGGATTATACCAGGGTTATGTACAAGTCTGAAAATGTTATTTTCTCTTCCTAAGAGGTTATTTTTGGCTACGAGGGAGATGGAGTGTAACTCATTCTGGAACATTGCCCATATCATCTGTTTCAAAATAACAACAATAACAACAACAAAGGCTTAAAACTTGGCTATAAACCCCCACCCATGTGTCTGTTTTCCCAACTGGACTGTTTGTGTTGCATTTAACAGCTCTTTAGGTTCAGATTGCAACAGACAATTGAGTACACTGAAGTACTGAAGAATGTAGTGCTGAAGAATGTAGTAGTCCTCCTGAGCCAGCCAACCGGGTATTTCATATACTCACCCCTGACTTGGTTCTATAGGACCCATCCTTTGACATGATCTGCATTGCTCTGGTGGATGGTACTTGTAAGAGCATTGTCTTTTGGCAGCATCTCTGGTGGAGTCCCCTCTATAAAAGGCAGGGAGAGCTTCATTATGAGTAGTGGGAGCAGAGCACAGTTTAAAAACACTTATGCATGCATAAATTATTGCATTGTAAGTAAAATTCCAGACATTTATATATATATATATATATATATATACACACACACACACACACACACACACACGTAAAAAAGTAATTAAAACTAATTAGGGTAAGCACCCCTTGCCAGAATGGGGAAGGATTCTGGCTACATTTCAATAGGATTTGGGTATCCACTTCCCCTAAACTCATCCTGGCCACATGTGTCTGCACAAAGCAGAACAACTGAAGGTGACAGATGGTCAGTGCAGCCTGTCACATCTTGGTCTCCTTGCTGAGGCCTGGTTTAGATGTGAAACTGGCTGAATGATGAGGACTGAGCAGCAACTTGTATATGAACCCAGCTGAACGCTAACTCTCTCCCTTCATTACAGAGGCATAGTTGAGGCAGCGCTCTACAAAGGATGTGCTTTCTTACCCATCACAAGCTACTCAGTCCATATTAAAACAAATTAAGATCAGATTACTAATAGTTCTAAACATTTGCCTTTACTCAACTTACTGTCATATGAGAATCCATCTTTCCCAACAGAGCTGGTACAGGATGTCACTAAGTTCTTTAGCCCCTACCTGAATGGTGGCTGGTAGGAACCTTGCCCTCTGTGGCAGTGAATATGCTACTCACAGCTTTTGGCTAATGGAAGAGTCTAGCTTGGCACGAGCTAGCTTGGTTCTCAAAAGCTTTGTCTACACTGGGGCTTGAGGAAGTCCAATACTTAGCTTTTGAGATCTGAAGGCCATGGAGCTGAGTTAACATCAGTGATGTCTCTCACCTCTGTCTGTTCCACGCTGTACCAAAAAGATTTCTTTCCTTGCTGTTTAGGCAGGAGGTAAAGGGCATTATAGAGAATAAAGATATTTAACTTATTTCCTCCTGCAGTTTGTACTGTGTTCCTCATTGTATTCAAAAACTAACCCAGCTCCACTGGTTCAATGCCTTCTGCTCAACCCATTCCCTTTAGAAATACAAAGGACCTACCCTGTGGAAGTTTGATATCCCCTCAGGGAATATCCTTCATGGTACCAGATAGACCCTTTCTGATCTCAGCTTTATTAGGATCCAGATGCTGCCTCACATCAAGAGTAGGGCTGTTGTAGGTCTCCAGGAAGAGCGAAGAATGAGATCCTCAGCAGATTTTTCTCACTGTAAAGCCCCTCCTCTAGCCCAGGCTCTCAGCCTGTGGTCACAAAACTACTCTTGATACCTCTTGTGCTTTTCCACAGTTCAGCCACCTGCTGTTTGCTCCCCTCCTGTGGAAGGGCACCCAGAGTAGTTTTATTGCTCATATAACAGCAGGGTGAGCATTAAGTTTATTATTCAAGGTGAAACCCAACTCCTTGCCCTGTTCATTCTAGGCAGTCATAATAAACAGGAGATGCTGCAGCTTGGACTCCCTGCTGAGGACTGGCAATTTCCTGGCAGCCACTGTCTCAAAACACACACAAGTTTTCCAAAGACCAAGGAGCCAGCAGATCTTTCCTTTATTGC